CAGGCATGAGAGTGGCTTGCGTCGCGTACCCGCCCGAGGAGTCGTGCTGCTGGAGCTGCTTGTCGTGGAGGCGCTGGGATTGCTGGTGTCTCTGGTCCTGGAGGTGCTCGTACTGGAGGTACTGGAGCTGCCAGGACTGGTACTACTCCTGGGGGTGCTGAGCCTGCGTCTGCGGAGTCTGGGGGTGCTGAGCCTACGAGTGTGGAGCCTGGGGGTGTTGAGCCGGAGGGTGCCGGGTCGGGGGGTGCTGAGTCTGCTGGCGTTCCTCTGGGTCTCGTTTCACGACGCGGGCCTGTCTCACCACAGCAGGCACGAGAGTGGCTTGCGTCGCGTACCCGCCTGAGCAGTCGTGCTACTGGAGCTGCTTGTGGTGGAGGCGCTGGGAGTGCTGGTGTCTCTGGTCCTGGAGGTTCTCGTACTGGAGGTACTGGAGCTGCCGGGACTAGTACTGCTCCTGGAGTTGGAGGTGTCGGCTCTGGGGGTGCTACTGCTGGAGGTACTGGGGCTGGAGGCCCTGGAGCTGGTGCTGTCGACCCTGGCGTTGGAGACCCTGGAGCTGGAGGTGCCGGTTCTGGGGGTGCTGCTACTAGTGGTGCTGGAGCTGGAGGTTCTGGAGCTGCTGGAGGAGCTGGAGCTGGAGGTGCTGCTGCTGGAGTCACTGGAGCTGGAGGTGCTGCTGCTGGAGGCGCTGGAGCTGGAGGTTCTGGAGCTGTTGGAGGCGCTTGAGCTGGAGGTGCTGCTGCTGAGTCATTGGAGCTGGAGGTGCTACTGCTGGAGGCCCTGGAGCTGGAGGTTCTGGAGCAGCTGTAGGCGCTGGAGCTGTTGGTGCTCGTCCTGGAGGTGCTGGAGCTGCCGGAGCTTGTGGTGCTGCGGGCTTTGGAGCTGGAGGCGCTGGCGCTGGAGGCGCTGGAGCTGGAGATACTGGAGCTGGAGGCGCTGGAGCTAGAGGCGCTGGAGCTGGAGGTTCTGGAGCTGCTGGAGGCGCTGGAGCTGGTGGTACTAGTGCTGGTGGTACTGCACAACCGCGACTGTTCTTCGCTCTGCCGTCACCGTCGTCTCTGCCACCGCCTGACTCCGCGCTTCGCCAGGTTCTTAGCCTCCCGTCTGCTACTGGTCTCCCGTTACAGCCAGGCTCACCGATGCCTGCTCCTTCTCCTTACACTGAGCAGACAGACTCGCTTACAGGGCGTCGTGAGCCTGCGTCTCGTCCTGCCTCGCCTGTTCGCGCACGTCGCCCTGGTAGTCGTGTTCCTCGTGAGCGTCCGCCTCCTGTCACTGGCACGCACGCTATGGCACTTCGTCCTTCCTCTGTTCCACAGCGTATTCCCCTGCCGTCTTCTCTGCCTGACGTTCCGGACCCTGAGTCTGACCTGGTTCGTGCTGCTTACCCCACTGTCATGCGTCTGCTAGCCACTGTTGTCACTGACCCGTCTTGAGTCTGCTGCTGCGTCTGCCTTAGTCTCTGAGCTTGTTGACTTTGCTGCTGCCTGTCGTCTAGACTTCGCTGCTAGTCTTGTTGCTGAGTCTGAGTCTGTCAATCCTCCGTCCGTCGGGGGTGAGTGTGCTCTTGGCATGGACGTCCTTGAGGACAAGCAGGAGGACTTTGAGTGTCTTGCAGCCGCTGCGCCTCATCTCGTGGCCATGCTGCTTGCCCCTGAGGGAGACCCGGATGCTCCAGACATCCCGACCCGCGCTCTTACGCTGAGGCGATCGCGGGTGAGTACTCCTCTCAGTGGCAGACAGCCATGGACGCAGAGATGGCATCCTGGAAGTCCACAGGCACTTACGTCGACGCAGTTCCCCCTCCTAGGGCGAACGTAGTCGATGGCATGTGGATTTTCAGGGTGAAGCGGCCGCCGGGTTCTCCGCATGTCTTCAAGGCTCGTTACGTTGCACGAGGCTTCAGTCAGCGGGAGGGAGTTGACTTCTTCCATACCTTCTCCCCCACCCCGAAGATGACCACTCTTCGGGTGCTGCTGCACGTTGCCGCTCAGCGTGACTACGAGCTTCACTCTCTTGACTTCAGCACAGCTTTCTTGCAGGGCAGCCTGCACGAGGAGATCTGGCTGCGCCGCCCGCCTGGCTTCACTGGGTCGTTCCCTCCTGGTACCCAGTGGAGCCTCCGTCGGCCGGTCTACGGTCTCCGCCAGGCGCCACGTGAGTGGCACGACACACTGAGGACGACACTTGCGGCTCTTGAGTTTGCTCCGTCGACTGCTGACCCGTCGCTGTTTCTGCGCACCGCCACTTCGCTGCCGCCGTTCTACATCCTCGTGTACGTCGACGACTTGGTCTTTGCCACTGCTGACACTGAGGCTCTCGCCCTGGTGAATTCGGAGCTGCAGAAGAGACACACGTGCACAGACCTGGGTGAGCTGCGCAGTTACGTTGGCTTGCAGATCACCCGGGACAGAGCACGCAGCACCATCACACTGACTCAGTCACACATGGTGCAGCAGGTCCTTCAGCGCTTCGGCTTCACCTGGTCCTCGGCACAGCCCACTCCTCTGGCTACAGGTCACTCGCTCTCAGCTCCACCTTCGGACGAGTCCGTAGAGCTGACAGAGCTAGTGGGCTGCCTCAAGTACCTGATGACCTGCACTCGTCCTGACCTCGCGTACCCTCTTGGCCTTCTGGCACGCTACGTGGCTCCTGGTAGGCACCGAAAGGTGCACATGGATGCTGCGAAGAGGGTACTGCGCTACTTGTGCAGTACATCGGGCATGGGGCTCGTGCTTGGAGGGCGGAGCTCAGTTGTTCTCACTGGGCACTCAGACGCTTCTTGGGCTGACGACCTGGCTACGTAGCGGTCGTCACAGGGTTACACGTTCAGCCTTGGCTCTGGCTCTGTTTCTTGGCGGTCTACACTCTCGCCTTCTGTTCTCAGCTCCAGTTGTGAGGCTGAGATCTACGCTGGGGCCATGGCTGCACAGGAGCTACGCTGGCTCACCTACCTGCTGACCGACTTGGGAGAGAGGCCTCGTTCTCCTCCAGTTCTGTACGTCGACAACAAGGCTGCCATTGCCTTGTGTCAGGACCACAGACTGGAGCACAGAATGAAGCACATCGCTCTGCGTTACTTCCTTGCTCGAGAGTTGCAGCAGCGTGGTTAGCTTCGTGTCGCTCACGTGCCCACCCGGGCCAACACGGCTGATGTGTTCACCAAGTCCCTTCCGGCTGGTTATCATCAGCGCTTCTGCACTGCTCTAGGCCTGGTGCCTACGTTTCCTCACTTGATGTAGACTCTGGTTGTACTGTGATATATGTATATATATATATATACATGCATGTTTACTCTTGCTAGGTAGTGATCACTGTACTGTTCTTGTTGCATATATACCTCTGCATGTGAACTGGCCTTGTGGCTCTTTTGCTTGTGCTCGGAGTGTGTGGTGACGTTGTGATCCACCCTGAGCTTGCATTGCTTTTCTTGACTGGTCTTGTGACCCCTTGTTCTCCCCCACTTTGCCTATGGGGGTGTGTCAAACCATATCTGTGCTAGTTGTGTGTAGGCTATAGTGGGGTAGCCCATGTGGGGTACAACCCAAGATTAGGGTTAGTACTTGTACCCACAATTCATTCAATGCAACCATTCCTGCTTGCTATCTTTACATATATCATTCAAGTACACGGTTTTGGCGGAAGCCAATTGGAGCGAAGAAACGGAAAGTCGTGCGCGGCCAATCAGAGAAAGCGAGTCGAGAGAGAGGGCGCTGTCACAGGTGCAGTGGACGTTCAGAACCTTAGCAGTGGCAGAAAAGGATTTCAAAGAGGGGGGAAGGGCGAAGCGAAGGTTGACCGCTTGTTTCTCAAACCAGACTGCGATTTTTTATGAGCTGGAGATCAAGGGACGTGTGAGCGGCGTGTCGGAGGAAGAAGACTGGGGGACTTTGGTGTTGAACAGCAGCTTCTTGGGCTTGAACTCCTGCTCGAGGGGCATGGACAGAGAGATGGGCACAGGAACGGTAGAGAAGAGAGAGAGAGAGAGAGAGAGAGAGAGAGAGAGAGAGAGAGAGAGAGAGAGAGAGAGAGAGAGAGAGAGAGAGAGAGAGAGAGAGATAGAGAGAGAGGCCCAGTCCTTAGTTTCTACCGGCTCTCTCACTTAGATTAGACTTAGTATAGCCAGGCTATAGGGCTACCTATGCCTTATGTCCTTAGTGTAGCCCCTGCAGTAAGCCTATAAGCTGTACATGCTCCTATATATTCCTCCTTGCCCCTTCATTCCACTCATTATTCTCTGGTGAGTGTGGTTCCTCCCAACCCAGCGGCCTCATTATATAGCTACCGTGAATGTGAACAATCACTACCGTTAGATGCACTGGAGCTGCTGCAAAAGGAGAGAAGGGAGCCGTCCGGGGTGAAGCTACAACACGCACTTACACTCAGTGTCCAAGGAAGCAGATATGCGGAGCAGGTCAAGGCTTCTAGATTGATGCCGCTGAATCCACTCAAGGGCCACACTCAGCGGCTGTTCTCACTCACAGGTTACGGAGCAGGGGATTGGCTGCTAGCAATACCCGTCAAGTCTTCTCAACGGTTATGCCCAGAGCATTTTGCCAATGCCGTTCGGTTCAGACTTGGACTCCCCTTCTCTACCCCCGATAACTGTGACTGCTCAAAGCACGTCAGCATCCTGGACAAGCGCTTACCCAACCACTTGTTTCGGTGCGGCACCGGCAAAGCCAGAATCAACACGCATAACGAGCTGCGAGACGCCTGCATCACCATGGCGGAGGATGCCGGTTTCATCGTGCACGGGGAATCAGCAGCATACTGCCAGGTGGAGGAGCAAAAGACGGATTTGACGATGAGGGACAGGAGCTCAGGGGCGGTCTATATCTGTGGCGTCACAATCACAGACCCCATCAGCACGAGGGGCCCAGAGGCACAGAAAGGAAGGGGTTGGGCGGCACGGGCTCTACAACTGCCTAGGACAAGCATGGAGGAAGCCGGGGTGGACGCTACATCTGACCCGCGTCAAGAACGGCGACGAGCGAGCGATGGAGCTCCTGCACCAACACAGTGCTTGCGCCGATCGCATCGGATCCAGTCCCTGCGCGCAAGGATCGGCGCAAGCCACGGACAGCCGTACCAAGCTGCCCAACGCCCGCAACTCCTCCCCTCGCGGGCACAGCCAACACGGGTGCCAGCAGTTCTGCGAGCCGATCAGCAGCATCGAGACATTCATCCCGAGGGCCGCCTTCCATGGAATTCCCGCGGGAGAGCGCCGTGTGCCCGTATACCTGGATCAGGTGGACAACCCGTAAGCCTTCAGATAGGCGCCACAGCTGCCCCAGTGTCGCCTCCGACACCTCTGCCGTCCGAAGATGGAACGGCTGCGCAGCACCAGCAGCATGGGGAGCAGGGTCACCGAGTAGACCCGCTGCAAGTCCGCCATCGTCACCGGCGCATCAAACGGCCCGCCACGGCCACGTCCTTGACTTCCCCGCCAGCCCCCTCGCCCACCCCGCCGCGCGTACGAGTTCCCGCCCGATGAGCGGCGCTGAGCGACTCCTGCCGACGACGCGACGACCCCCGCTCATCTCGCGGGAAGGGCGAATGGGGCCGTGATGGGCGGCGATCAGGAGACTGTGGACGACACGGCAGCCCAGACGGGACCAACGGAGGCGCTGCAGGCGCCGACTGAACAGCCTAGGCAGGCGCCACAGCCGGGGCCGGGCCGCCAGTGATGGCGGACACCGCCGCTAGCACCAGGGTTAGGAGTACACGTTGAAATCGTCCGTGCAGCAGGCAGGGTTGGTGCATGCAAGCACGCAGGAGGAGCAGGAGGCGGCGCTCAGGCACGTGGTGTCGGTGACCCCCCCTCCGTGTGGCAACCTGTTGACTTTCGTTGACCTGTCAGATGTGGACGTGCAGCGAGTGGCAAGAGAGGTGGTGACGAGTGCCAATGAGAGACAGGTGAGCGGTGGGATCAGGTGGGATGGGGTGGCTTGAGGCAACAAATATAACCGCCATAGTATTAGTAAAAAAAATCCAACGAGAGGCGTGCAGACAGTCTCCCATGCGCCGCTTGACTCACAAACCTGGACAGGTGGTGGAGGCGCAGGTGGTGGTGGCACAGGTGGTGGAGGCGCAGGTGGTGGTGGCACAGGTGGTGGTGGCACAGGTGGTGGTGGCACAGGTGGTGGTGGCACAGGTGGTGGTGGCACAGGTGGTGGTGGCACAGGTGGTGGTGGCACTGGTGGTGGTGGCACAGGTGGTGGTGGCACAGGTGGTGGTGGCACTGGTGGTGGTGGCACAGGTGGTGGAGGCACTGGTGGTGGTGGCACTGGTGGTGGAGGCACAGGTGGTGGTGGCACTGGTGGTGGTGGCACAGGTGGTGGAGGCACTGGTGGTGGTGGCACTGGTGGTGGAGGCACAGGTGGTGGTGGCACAGGTGGTGGTGGCACAGGTGGTGGTGGCACAGGTGGTGGTGGCACAGGTGGTGGTGGCACAGGTGGTGGTGGCACAGGTGGTGGTGGCACAGGTGGTGGTGGCACTGGTGGTGGTGGCACAGGTGGTGGTGGCACAGGTGGTGGTGGCACTGGTGGCCACTTCTCTGCTCTCCCACTCCTGCCTGCTCCGTCCCCTACACAGAGGGTAGCGCTCCACTACTGCTGATCTCAGTGCGGGAGGCACAGGTGGTGGCACATCAGTGGCAGTGGTGGGGTGGTGGAGTGGGACTTGGCATGGGCCATGTCAGGGGTGTGTGTGGATGAGGGGTGGGTGCTCATCCCTGCTGCTGCCCCCCTAGACAGCTAGACGCCTCCCCCTGCCTCCCCTAATGCTTCCTCTAATACCTCCTACAATGCTTCCACCAGTGCCTCCTCTAATGCCTCCCTTACTGCCTCCGCCACTTCTCCATGCGCTCCCTCGCTCTTTTCGCCCTCCACCAACTCAACAACCAAAGCAGCCTCTTCTCGAATATGACTCTGCTGGATGTTCTTGTAGCGGGGGCGAAGGTGTGTGGGGGCAGGGATCAACTATAGCGTGACTGTAACAGCAGCGGTGGATGCTGAAGCTGCAGCAACACTGCTGACTGCGCCTGGAACCAAAGCCAAGGCAGCAGGTGAGGGGGCAGTAGAGGAGGGGGGGGCAAGGAAGCAAGTGGTGGTGGTGAAGTTGTTGGTGTGGCAGCCGGTGCCCTTCACTGCTCACCACCTGGCTGAATTCATTTTGCTGGATGGGGAAGGTGGTGAGGCGAAGGGAGAGGCAGAGGGCTTTGCGTCCATTGACTGTGCACCCCCACCCCCCGGTCACATCCTCCTTGCTAACTGCACGACAGTGCACAAGGCTGGCTATTCTTCTGTAGCTGCACCGGTAGGATTTGTAAGATTGCTTCATGTGCTTGTCTCCCTTGGCCTCGTGCTGGCTCTCCTGTAGAGATGGTATCATGGGTGGGTGCCGTTTGCGTCGCTGTAACACTGGTTAAGTTAATGCTTCACTAAACGTACACACACGATCCCCATCTAGACTCAAGAGTCGCATTATTGTGGTTACACATGTGCTTGTTTCCTTTTTACAGAGGGATTTATAGGTGGGTGGCCTCTCTTCCCTTTGCTGGATGCAAAACAGAAAACATCAATACAAAGCATCAATACAATACAGGCATATATAAAAATCATCAATACATAACTATCCTCACTAACTCCTGTGCTCTACTGTGCTCAACTGGTGGAGCAGCAGGCAGCAGGCAGCAAGAGAGCAGCACAGCAGCAGTACCACGTATGTCCACCATTACTACGGTACCCCCAATGCTAGCACCCGTTGACATCCCATCACCATGGGTTTAGCAAGCACCACACAGGTGCACACCACACAGGTGCACACCACACAGGTGCACACCACCCCTACTGTCACACCATTACCGCCACCGTCATTTGCACACAGCATGCCTCCCGTTCGACCCTGCACACACCTCCCTCACACATGCAACCCTCACACATGCAACCCTCACACAAGTGTATCTTGGTTCCACCGACTCACTACCCCAGCCACCCTGCTCCCTCTCTTCTCTCAAAGCACGAAGTGCCTCAGAGGGTTTAAAACAACCCTCATGGTTCGATTCAATCATCCTGCCTGCACCATGCCCTGACCCATGGCATGGAGAACATGATCTGACCGTTGTGAAACGATGTGACCCCATGCTATCACCGTGACATGATGTGACCCCATGCTACCGCTATGACACAATCTGACCCCATGCCATCACCGTGACACGGTCTGACCCCGTGCTATCGCTCTGAATCGCTGTGAACCCATACTAACCCGCCACGCCCGTCTGACCTGATTGCACCGCTCCTCTCCCACCCGCCCACATGAAAGAGAGACGATGGATTAACAACGCTGTACGATACCAGACAAGGGAACTGCCTGCACAGAGAAGCCGGAATGCCCGTTTGCCACTCGGAAGAAGCATAGTAAATAGACTCCAGGTTCGGAGCATTGATGTACGTGCTGCTGCTGCTTCTGCTGCTCTCTTCTTCCCCACCAAAGCACCTCCAAAACCGAGAGTCCTCCGGATCCTCCGGGTTTTCTTTGTAACTAAACCCCCGAGTTCTAAGACGGTTCACACCAACGCTGAGGTGGCGCAGCTGGCTCCACTCCACCCGCACGCCCTCCAGAGGCCAGCCGTACCTCAATACAAGCATCTCTACTGTAGGCGCTATGCTGCTGAGTAGGTGGGTCAAGGCGCGTTGGGATTCGAGGTCGGAACAGGGAAAAGCAAGCTGCTGGTTTTCTCGACTGGTTGGTCCATTCAAGTAGACGGTTACAGCGGAAGCCAATGGGAGCGAAGAAACGAGAAGCTGCGAGCGGCCAATGAGAGAGAGTGAGTCGAGAGAGAGGCGGCTGTTGCATGTGCAATCCACGTTAAGAGACCACGCAGCGGCAGAGAATCTCTTCAAAGAGGCAGGCAGGGCGAAGCGGAGGTGGAGCGCTTGTCTGTCAAAGCAGACTGTGATAGATCGAGCAGCGGTGAGGTTGAAATCGAGGGTGGTCGAACCAGAGCCAGGATTGGAGGAGGCGAGAGTGAGTTCATGCAGCTGCGGTGCGAGGGATGAGAGAAAGGACAGATCATTTCGATCACACTCGAGGATGCTCAGTTTTCTTAAAGCCCGGAACCTCGCCGGATTCAGTTTGCCTAGTTGCCACGTCCCATGGCCCAGCTTCAGCCGCTGCAGCTGCTCAAACCCCTCAAGGACGCCCGGATACATCAGCGGATTCTCCTCAAAACTAAAACTATACACTTCAAAAAAGTCTGGATTCAGCCTCCGTCCCTTAATACGAGTAGGTTTATTTTTTTCAAGTGGAGGCTCCTTGAGCCCAAGGCCCAGGCTTGTGAGGGAGCGCGCAGAGGGGCCCAAGAGAGGGCCGAGGCAGCGCAGGTCACGGGAGTCGCTGAGAACGAAAGTGAGGGGCGCGTGGGGGGCGTACTTGAGGAAGACAGAGAGCGCTCCCGAGGGACGTGTGGGCGCGGGGTCTAGGCGGTTGAGAGCCCGCGTCATGGGCTCCAAGTCCTGCTCTCACACGGTGTGACAGAGAGATGGAGAGAGATGGAGAGAGATGGAGAGAGAGCGATGGAGAGAGAGAGAGAGAGAGATGGAGAGAGAGCGATGGAGAGAGAGAGAGAGAGATGGAGAGAGAGCGATGGAGAGAGAGAGAGAGAGATGGAGAGAGAGAGAGATGGAGAGAGAGAGAGAGAGAGAGAGAGAGAGAGAGAGAGAGAGAGAGAGAGAGAGATGGAGAGAGAGGTGGAGAGACACAGCGATGAGTAGGTACTAGAGGAGCGACTTTGTGAGTCAAATTAAAAGTATCCTGAGTGTTGCTTGGCAGCGTCAATGGCTCGAAATCATGCTCACACGCAGCGATGGACACGAGGATGGTTGAGGAGGCTTAGCCGTGACCGGGACCGCTTCATAGCTTAGCACCCAGAGAAGAGTTGTACCATGGATTACGGGGAGCAAAGAGAGACTCACGGGGAAGGAGGCGACATGGTGGAGGAGCCTCTGGCAGACCATGGCGCAGCGCAGCAGAGGCCAGCAAGAGCCGAAGGTTCTCAATGCGTCGGGGGAGCTACCCCGATTCAGCACTTTATGTTTCAGACAATTCAAACGTCGAACTAAACGCTTTCTGCGTCCCTCGTGTGATTCGCCCAGCAGCACGTGGCGGAAGATGATGTGCCAGATGGGGCCGGGCAGCAGATCAACCACGTCCACGATCTGGTGGGTGAAACAAAACAAAAAAAAGAGGGAGAGAGAGAGAGAGAGAGAGAAAAAAGAATGAGAGGTCAGTCCTCTCTCGTTCGTCCTGAGAAGGTAGTGGCGTGGTGAGAAGGGAGGGGAATCTGCTGGGAACCACGGTTGTAGCGCCTCAGGCGGACTGTCTGCGGCATTACTCTCACCTCGTGGTGCTTCTCGGTATCAAAAGGTGCTGTGAGATTGAGAGCGTGATCATCACGAACTTTTTTGGGATGATCTCCCGCAAGCACCTCATCTCCATCATGGCCTGCCATCAGCGCCAATGATCGACGTAGGAAACAACGCTGTCGTTCGAAATCGGGAGGTTTTTGGAACCGACAAGTACGGCCCCTACACAATAATCTAGGTTTCTGTCGAGGGGAACTCTAGTATGCAGTGAAGGCGAGGGTTTGTTACGCTGGCAGCATGATTATGGTGGTGTTCCGTTTCCGCATGATAGCTCTTATGCGGCAACGGATGCACAATCTCTGCGCCAGGAAGCTTCCACCGATTCCACGATGTTTCGCCATCGCCGAGCACAGCAATTGCTCTGGTCCCAGTGGCCATTGTCGGACCAGACAGCTGTTGACTTAGCTTTCCTTCCCTAGGTTTTTTTCTGTTTCCAGTTCAGACCCGATATCCTCTGCTTCTGTCTCCCCGCATGTTGGTTTCGGCAGTGCTACAACTGAGGCAATCACGAAACACTTCGAGTGGACCACACGTTATGCGTCGCAAATCCAGTATCTCGCAAATCCGAGTTTCGTCGGATTTTACCGACCTAGGCGAAGGTTTTGCCTAGAGTAACATGCTTGACTCGCTAGTGCTCGTTTCGCTCCATCTGACCTTTTCGCGCAGTTGCTGAAACGTGTGATCCTCCAGAGCATGTTAGGACAAAGGATGAAACCAGGTCGCCGAGACCATGCGAACTTTGCAAACCTCGAGAATGTACACAAAACTGCCACCGCACAGAACCGTCGATATGGCAACAACTCGAGGAGGGAACGAAGTTGTAGATGAATGGGAGGTGTTCCTCCATTCCCTTGGCGAATCTATGCGACCATAAGCGAATCGAAGTAACAAACACTCAACAGGTGCCAAACTTCGCCACGAGTCTTCCTCACCTTTTCTTCCTCACCTTTTCTTCCTCGCCTTTTCTTCCTCACCTTTTCTTCCACAGTTCGATTTCCGTCACGCGAGTCGTACGCGCAGATCACGCAGACGAGAGGCGAGAGCGACCCAGTTGAGAGGAAGCACACCTTATCTCGCCACGCCACCGTCACATGCGCTGCCAACTGTGACGAGACGCTCCACCCGTCTCATTCGTCCTGGTCGAATCCGTTCTCCCTCATTTCCTTCCCGCTTCTTCTTCAAACGTTCTCAGCTGGCTCTGCAATGGCTCGCACCGCGAACACCGTCGCCCTCCCACCATGCCTCTCAGGACAACTGAAAAGGGATCGTCAATATCAGTTATGGCCAAGAACTTTGGCGAGATGTTTTCAGACAGTCTCCCATGCGCAGCTCGACTCCCACTCTTTTGATCATTCAGGAGAGGGTTGGAAAAATCACATTCTTGCGGAACCAGACGCTATTATTGGTAAACATTCGAGACCATTCAAGAACATCATGATTCGAGATTCCAATCGCAGAAGCCTATCGCAGAACTGACGCCTAAACAAACACCGCGGTCTGGAACTGACTCTTATATCAGTCACACGAACTAAGAGCTTGCTCGCTACAGAGTCACTCGAAAAGATACGGCGATCATGACGAGCCGTCGCCGTGGCATGCGGCAGCACCTGACTTGCCCGTTATGCCTCCTTATCCTTTGCCACGTGGCATCCACGTGTCGAGTGTGTCTTCCGCCTATGTTCTCGGCAGCAGCAAACGGCTCCCCTCCAAACCCTAATTGGGAGATCGACTTCGACTGGCTGAGTAACGAGAACCAAATCGCCATGGCGCGATTCGCCGTGGCACAGCACAACGCCACCAAGGTGAGCCTCGCCTCGCCTCGCCTCGCCTCGCCTCGCCTCGATTCTCTCCGAGTACTCTCTTACGACAGGTGTTGTACTCTCGCCTCGAGAGTCTCGATCGGGTGTTGCACTCTTTCCCTTCAACTCATGCTGACTCACCACTGTGCAGCAGAACGAGGCCACGACGAGGTAGACGACAGGCGACAGCCCTTCTCCCTTTCATCCCTTCTCCCCTTCATCCCTTCTCCCCTCCATCCCTTCTCCCCTCCATCCCTTCTCCCCTTCAACCCTTCTCCCCTTCATCCCTTCTCCCCTTCATCCCTTCTCCCCTTCATCCCTTCTCCCCTTCATCCCTTCTCCCCTTCATCCCTTCTCCCCTTCTCCCCGTCTCTCGCCTCTCTACGTCAGAACGACAGCCTACAGCCAGTCGGAGTTCTCTATGTGGACCGCCCAGACATTGCCAGCACAGGCAGTGGCAGCGCAGGCAATGGCAGCGCAGGCAACTCAAGCGCAGGCAGGGAGGAGTACCTTGTGTGACTGGCGGCTCTCAGCCTGCTGCGCGGCCGCACTGCCTTCTTCGACGCCCTCCTCTCCCGCCGCCCTCTCGTGGCCGCACAATCCGCAACCCCTGCTGCTGCCCCTCCGCCAGCAGCCTCAGCCACACTGGTAGCCATAGCAGCAGCAGCAGCAGCAGCAGCAGCAACTGCACCCACCCCTGCGGCAGCGTCCGTTGCAGCAGCAGCAACAGGAGGAGGAGAGGGAGGAGGGGAGGGATGGCAGTACACGTTGAGGTCGTGGGTGCAGCAGGCAGGGTGGGGGCATGCGAGCACGCGGGAGGAGCAGGAGGCGGCGCTCAGGCACGTGGTGCCGGTGACCCCCCCTCCGTGTGGCCACCTGTTGACTTACGTCCAAGGTGCAAAATTATGGTCGTTTTTTTTAGAATCAACCGTAAAATACGGTAACGTGTAATAGGCTCCTGTTAGAAATCGTAGAGCAGTTTGAAAAGACGGCCATATTATTGCACCTTGCTTACGTGGACGTGCAGCGCGTGGCACGAGAGGCGGTGGCGAGTGCGAATAAGAGACAGGTGAGTGATGGGATGAGATGGATGGGATGGGATCCCACCTTCACAGGAGCCAGTTTCCACACCATTCTTTTTGGTCGAGGCCCATGCTCAGACTCTGTACCCACTGGTGAGAGGCGTGGTGGCCAGTGAGAATGAGAGGTGGTTGAGCGGTGGGACGAGATCTGTCTTTCACAGGGGTCACTTTACACTTCATTCTCTTTGCTCGAGGCCCATGCTCAGCCCCATGCTCAGGCCCATGCTCAGGCCCATGCTCAGGCCCATGCTCAGGCCCATGCTCAGGCCCATGCTCAGGCCCATGCTCAGGCCCATGCTCAGGCCCATGCTCAGGCCCATGCTCAGGCCCATGCTCAGGCCCATGCTCAGGCCCATGCTCAGGCCCATGCTCAGGCCCATGCTCAGGCCCATGCTCAGGCCCATGCTCAGGCCCATGCTCAGGCCCATGCTCAGGCCCATGCTCAGGCCCATGCTCAGGCCCATGCTCAGGCCCATGCTCAGGCCCATGCTCAGGCCCATGCTCAGGCCCATGCTCAGGCCCATGCTCAGGCCCATGCTCAGGCCCATGCTCAGGCCCATGCTCAGGCCCATGCTCAGGCCCATGCTCAGGCCCATGCTCAGGCCCATGCTCAGGCCCATGCTCAGGCCCATGCTCAGGCCCATGCTCAGGCCCATGCTCAGGCCCATGCTCAGGCCCATGCTCAGGCCCATGCTCAGGCCCATGCTCAGGCCCATGCTCAGGCCCATGCTCAGGCCCATGCTCAGGCCCATGCTCAGGCCCATGCTCAGGCCCATGCTCAGGCCCATGCTCAGGCCCATGCTCAGGCCCATGCTCAGGCCCATGCTCAGGCCCATGCTCAGGCCCATGCTCAGGCCCATGCTCAGGCCCATGCTCAGGCCCATGCTCAGGCCCATGCTCAGGCCCATGCTCAGGCCCATGCTCAGGCCCATGCTCAGGCCCATGCTCAGGCCCATGCTCAGGCCCATGCTCAGGCCCATGCTCAGGCCCATGCTCAGCCCCATGCTCAGGCCCATGCTCAGGCCCATGCTCAGGCCCATGCTCAGCCCATGCTCAGCCCATGCTCAGGCCCATGCTCAGGCCCATGCTCAGGCCCATGCTCAGCCCATGCTCAGGCCCATGCTCAGCCCATGCTCAGGCCCATGCTCAGGCCCATGCTCAGCCCCATGCTCAGGCCCCATGCTCAGGCCCATGCTCAGCCCCATGCTCAGGCCCATGCTCAGCCCCATGCTCAGGCCCATGCTCAGGCCCATGCTCAGCCCCATGCTCAGGCCCATGCTCAGCCCCATGCTCAGGCCCATGCTCAGCCCCATGCTCAGCCCCATGCTCAGGCCCCATGCTCAGCCCCATGCTCAGGCCCATGCTCAGGCCCATGCTCAGCCCCATGCTCAGGCCCATGCTCAGCCCCATGCTCAGGCCCATGCTCAGCCCCATGCTCAGGCCCATGCTCAGCCCCATGCTCAGGCCCATGCTCAGCCCCATGCTCAGGCCCATGCTCAGCCCCATGCTCAGCCCCATGCTCAGGCCCATGCTCAGCCCCATGCTCAGGCCCATGCTCAGCCCCATGCTCAGCCCCATGCTCAGGCCCATGCTCAGCCCCATGCTCAGGCCCATGCTCAGCCCCATGCTCAGGCCCATGCTCAGCCCCATGCTCAGGCCCATGCTCAGCCCCATGCTCAGGCCCATGCTCAGCCCCATGCTCAGGCCCAAGCTCAGCCCCATGCTCAGCCCCATGCTCAGCCCCATGCTCAGGCCCATGCTCAGCCCCATGCTCAGGCCCATGCTCAGCCCCATGCTCAGGCCCATGCTCAGCCCCATGCTCAGGCCCATGCTCAGCCCCATGCTCAGGCCCATGCTCAGCCCCATGCTCAGGCCCATGCTCAGCCCCATGCTCAGGCCCATGCTCAGCCCCATGCTCAGGCCCATGCTCAGCCCCATGCTCAGGCCCAAGCTCAGCCCCATGCTCAGCCCCATGCTCAGCCCCATGCTCAGGCCCATGCTCAGCCCCATGCTCAGGCCCATGCTCAGCCCCATGCTCAGGCCCATGCTCAGCCCCATGCTCAGGCCCATGCTCAGCCCCATGCTCAGGCCCATGCTCAGCCCCATGCTCAGGCCCATGCTCAGCCCCATGCTCAGGCCCATGCTCAGCCCCATGCTCAGGCCCATGCTCAGCCCCATGCTCAGGCCCATGCTCAGCCCCATGCTCAGGCCCATGCTCAGCCCCATGCTCAGGCCCATGCTCAGCCCCATGCTCAGGCCCATGCTCAGCCCCATGCTCAGGCCCATGCTCAGCCCCATGCTCAGCCCCATGCTCAGGCCCATGCTCAGCCCCATGCTCAGGCCCATGCTCAGGCCCATGCTCAGCCCCATGCTCAGGCCCATGCTCAGGCCCATGCTCAGCCCCATGCTCAGTCCCATGCTCAGCCCCATGCTCAGGCCCATGCTCAGGCCCATGCTCAGGCCCATGCTCAGCCCCATGCTCAGGCCCATGCTCAGCCCCATGCTCAGCCCCATGCTCAGCCCCATGCTCAGGCCCATGCTCAGCCCCATGCTCAGGCCCATGCTCAGCCCCATGCTCAGGCCCATGCTCAGCCCCATGCTCAGGCCCATGCTCAGCCCCATGCTCAGGCCCATGCTCAGCCCCATGCTCAGGCCCATGCTCAGCCCCATGCTCAGCCCCATGCTCAGGCCCATGCTCAGCCCCATGCTCAGGCCCATGCTCAGGCCCATGCTCAGCCCCATGCTCAGGCCCATGCTCAGGCCCATGCTCAGCCCCATGCTCAGCCCCATGCTCAGCCCCATGCTCAGCCCCATGCTCAGCCCCATGCTCAGCCCCATGCTCAGCCCCATGCTCAGCCCCATGCTCAGCCCCATGCTCAGCCCCATGCTCAGCCCCATGCTCAGCCCCATGCTCAGCCCCATGCTCAGCCCCATGCTCAGCCCCATGCTCAGCCCCATGCTCAGCCCCATGCTCAGCCCCATGCTCAGCCCCATGCTCAGCCCCATGCTCAGCCCCATGCTCAGCCCCATGCTCAGCCCCATGCTCAGCCCCATGCTCAGCCCCATGCTCAGCCCCATGCTCAGCCCCATGCTCAGCCCCATGCTCAGCCCCATGCTCAGCCCCATGCTCAGCCCCATGCTCAGCCCCATGCTCAGCCCCATGCTCAGCCCCATGCTCAGCCCCATGCTCAGCCCCATGCTCAGCCCCATGCTCAGCCCCATGCTCAGCCCCATGCTCAGCCCCATGCTCAGCCCCATGCTCAGCCCCATGCTCAGCCCCATGCTCAGCCCCATGCTCAGGCCCAGGCCCATGCTCAGCCCCATGCTCAGGCCCATGCTCAGCCCCATGCTCAGGCCCATGCTCAGCCCCATGCTCAGCCCCATGCTCAGCCCCATGCTCAGGCCCATGCTCAGGCCCATGCTCAGGCCCATGCTCAGGCCCATGCTCAGGCCCATGCTCAGGCCCATGCTCAGGCCCATGCTCAGGCCCCATGCTCAGGCCCATGCTCAGGCCCATGCTCAGGCCCATGCTCAGTCCCATGCTCAGGCCCCATGCTCAGGCCCATGCTCAGCCCCATGCTCAGGCCCATGCTCAGGCCCATGCTCAGCCCCATGCTCAGGCCCATGCTCAGGCCCATGCTTAGCCCCATGCTCAGCCCCATGCTCAGCCCCATGCTCAGCCCCATGCTCAGCCCCATGCTCAGCCCCATGCTCAGCCCCATGCTCAGCCCCATGCTCAGCCCCATGCTCAGCCCCATGCTCAGCCCCATGCTCAGCCCCATGCTCAGCCCCATGCTCAGCCCCATGCTCAGCCCCATGCTCAGCCCCATGCTCAGCCCCATGCTCAGCCCCATGCTCAGCCCCATGCTCAGCCCCATGCTCAGCCCCATGCTCAGCCCCATGCTCAGCCCCATGCTCAGCCCCATGCTCAGCCCCATGCTCAGCCCCATGCTCAGCCCCATGCTCAGCCCCATGCTCAGCCCCATGCTCAGCCCCATGCTCAGCCCCATGCTCAGCCCCATGCTCAGCCCCATGCTCAGCCCCATGCTCAGCCCCATGCTCAGCCCCATGCTCAGCCCCATGCTCAGCCCCATGCTCAGCCCCATGCTCAGGCCCATGCTCTTCCCACCCCCTCCCCCTCGCAGGGCAGCCCGCTGCTGCTGATCTCAGTGGTGGAGGCACAGGTGGTGGTGCCGGGATACACTGCTGGCAGCAGATGAGGGCACCGCCTGCAGGCAGCCAGTACGCAATGAAGATATTATAACTTCTCCGCTCCTCCACTCCTTCTTTCTTCCCCCCCCCCCGAACCCGCAGAGCAGCGCTCCGCTGCTGATTTCGGTGCTGGAGGCACAGGTGGTGGCGCCGCGGTACAGAGAGCCCACCCCACCCTCACACTGCTGGCAGCTGATGAGCTCACCGGCATGGCAGCCCACTATGCCGTGCACGCACTGGACTGATGCCACGCCCGTCACTTCACAAGGGGCGACCGCGAGTGAGTGATGCTGCTTCTGGTGCAGCTTCACCCCCGCCTGCTTGACTTGTTCGTGTTGGATGGCGGAATGAGCAATGGCTGTGTTTCCGCACGCAATGACTGGGCAACATCCTCCTTGAAGGATACTCCTAAGTAACTGCACGGCAGTATTGAAGGCTGGCTGTTCCATTGCTGCGCCTTTAGAATTCGTGGTCGTGCTTGTCTCCCTGGGCCTTGTGCTGGTTGTCCTGTAGCAACAAGTGTCCTTGTCTCCCTGCTGCTGCCCCTCCGCCAGCAGCAGCAGCAGCAGCAGCAGCAGCAGCAGCAGCCACACCGGTGGTAACCACAGCAGCAGCAGCAGAAGGAGAAGGACGAGGAACAGTGGCAGCAGCAGCAACGGCGGCGGCAGCAGCAGCAGGAGGGGGAGAGGGAGGGGAGTACGTGTTGAGGTGGGTCACGATGCAGGCTGGGTCGGAGCGTGAGAGCACGCGCGAGGAGCAGGAGAAGGCGTTGAGGCACGTGGTGTCACTGCCGCCCATACCGTGTGGCGATGAGTTCACTTACGTTGACCCGTCAGATGCTGACGTGCAGCGCGTGGCACGAGGGGCGGTGGCGAGTGAGAATGAGAGGCAGGTGAGCGGTGGGATGGGATGGGATGGGATGGGGTGGGGTGGGGTGGGATGGGATGGGGTGGGGTGGGATGGGGTGGGGTGGGATGGGATGGGGTGGGATGGGATGGGGTGGGATGGAATGGGATGGGGTGGGATGGGATGGGATGGGATGGGGTGCGATGGGGAGGGGTGGGATGGGATGGAATTATCCCTCCACAAGGGTCGGTTTGCAATTCATTCCCTTCTCTCCATGCTTTTGCTCAGATCCATGCTCAGCCTGTCTACTTCTCCTCCCCTCCAACCCCCCCACCCTCTCCTTCCGTCTCCCTCCTTTCGCCCCCCACAGGGCAGCACTTTGCGACTGACCTAGCTGCTGGAATTTTAACGCTGAGGCACATGCTCATGCGCAGTACCCACTATCGCAACAAACATGGCACTGCTAGTTTAGATTTCTACTGTCTGCTTCCTTCCTTACCCTCTCCCCAATTTTTGAGGCGCCTAAGAAACGGCAGCACTCTGCGACTGATCTCGCTGCTGCTGGAGGGCTCAATACCACTGCCTACTGCCTTCCTTGCCCTCTCACCACCCTCCTTTCGCCCCCCACAGGGCAGCACGCTGCGACTGATCTCGCTGCTGCTGGAGGGCTCAATACCACTGCCTACTGCCTTCCTTGCCCTCTCACCACCCTCCTTTCGCCCCCCACAGGGCAGCACGCTGCGACTGATCTCGCTGCTGCTGGAGGGCTCAATGCCACTGCCTACTGCCTTCCTTGCCCTCTCACCACCCTCCTTTCGCCCCCCACAGGGCAGCACGCTGCGACTGATCTCGCTGCTGCTGGAGGGCTCAATACCACTGCCTACTGCCTTCCTTGCCCTCTCACCACCCTCCTTTCGCCCCCCACAGGGCAGCACGCTGCGACTGATCTCGCTGCTGCTGGAGGGCTCAATACCACTGCCTACTGCCTTCCTTGCCCTCTCACCACCCTCCTTTCGCCCCCCACAGGGCAGCACGCTGCGACTGATCTCGCTGCTGCTGGAGGGCTCAATACCACTGCCTACTGCTTTCCTTGCCCTCTCACCACCCTCCTTTCGCCCCCCACAGGGCAGCACGCTGCGACTGATCTCGCTGCTGCTGGAGGGCTCAATACCACTGCCTACTGCCTTCCTTGCCCTCTCACCACCCTCCTTTCACCCCCCACAGGGCAGCACGCTGCGACTGATCTCGCTGCTGCTGGAGGGCTCAATACCACTGCCTACTGCTTTCCTTGCCCTCTCACCACCCTCCTTTCGCCCCCCACAGGGCAGCACTCTGCGACTGATCTCGCTGCTGGAGTTTTAACGTTGAGGCACGTGCTCAGACCCATGCTCAGACCCATGCTCAGACCCATGCTCAGACCCATGCTCAGACCCATGCTCAGACCCATGCTCAGACCCATGCTCAGACCCATGCTCAGACCCATGCTCAGACCCATGCTCAGACCCATGCTCAGACCCATGCTCAGACCCATGCTCAGACCCATGCTCAGACCCATGCTCAGACCCATGCTCAGACCCATGCTCAGACCCATGCTCAGACCCATGCTCAGACCCATGCTCAGACCCATGCTCAGACCCATGCTCAGACCCATGCTCAGACCCATGCTCAGACCCATGCTCAGACCCATGCTCAGACCCATGCTCAGACCCATGCTCAGACCCATGCTCAGACCCATGCTCAGACCCAGTAACCCAGTAACACTGTCTGCTTCCTTCCTCGCCTCTCTCCAACCCTCTCACCCCTGCAGGGCAGCGCGCTGCTGCAGATTCCGGTGGTGGAGGCACAGGTGGTGGGTGCCGGGATACAGAGAGTAACCCAAATTCACCCAGGGCCTATCCCGCGCTCCCTCGCTCTCTTTGCCCTGGATGAAGTCAATCGGAACAGCAGCCTCCCCTCGAATGTGACTCTGCTGGACGTTATTGTAGCGAGGGCGAATGTGGTGGAGGGCGCAGGGATCAACTACAGCGTGACTGTAACAGCAGCGGCGGCGGATGCAGCACCTGCAGCAACGGCACCGGCAGAGCTGCTGAAGGTGGTGGTGTGGCAGGCAGTGCCCTTCACGGCTCACCGCCTGGTTGACTTCTTCCTGCTGGATGGGGGAGACATTGAGGGAAGTGGGAAGCAAAAGCAGGAGGGCGTGTTGCTCATTGACTGTGCTTCCCCACCCCCGGGGCATGTCCTCCTTGCTAACTGCACAGCTGTGCCCAAGGCTGGCTGTTCTGTAGTTGCAGTGGTGGGAGTTGTAACATGGTTTTGGGTGCTTGTCTCCCTGGGCCTTGTGCTGCCTCTCCTGTAAGATGGGTGCCTTGAGTCGCTGCAACACACGGCGAAGTCAATGCTTTGCTAAGCGTGCACCCAGACAAGCTACGGTAATAGTCTACCATTGCTGGGGAGCATGGAGAGTGAGCTGCTTTAGATTAACAGTACAGATGGCCCCATCTAGACTAGAGTCACATGTTCATGTATCGTGGCTACGCATGTTATTTATACGGTAGCAATGCTTGGGCCGTAAACCTTGAACGCAGCAACGAGAGCGCTTTTAGGAGGCGAAGCACACAGGAGAAACAGCAGTGGGAAGCAAAACACAAAACATCACCACAAAGCATTATATTACCTATACATCAATACAAAGCATCCACCAGACATCAATAACCATTATTAGCCTTCAGAAACTCCTCTGCTTTACTGTGCTCAGCTGACAGCAGAGCAGCAGGCGGCAGCAGAGCAGCAGAGCAGCAGAGCAGCAGTACCACGTGTGCACACCATTTCTACCCCCACTGCTAGCACACATCTCCATTCTTTCACCATGGGTTTAGCATGCACCACACGGGTGCACTCCGCCCCTACTGTCACACCGTTACCACCACCGCTATTAGAACACAGCACCCATCCTGCTCGTCCCTGCACACGCCTCCCTCACACATCACCCCCGTGAACCTCGGTTCCAACACTCGCTACCCCACCCACCCTGCTCCTTTTTTTCTCTCAAAGCATGAAGTTCCTTAGAGGGTTCAAAGAAACACCCGTGGTGTGATTTGATCATCCTGTCTGCACCATGCCCTGACCCATGGCATGGGGAAGAGCGTGATATAACCCCATGCTATCGCCGTAACACGTTGTGACCAGATTGCACTGCTCCTATCCCTCCCGCTACCAGCGGTATGACTGATTGATAAACGCTGTACGATGCCAGGGAAGGGAACTGCCTGCGCAGAGAAACCAGCATGTCGGGATGCCACTTGTACGTGGCAACGAAAATACTCTCAAGGTTTGGAGCATTGATGAACGTGCTGCTGCTGCCACCGCCGCCGCCGCCGCTGCCGCTGCTCCCTCCTCCACCGAAGCACCTCAGAAAATCAGAATTGACCAGGCACCCCTCAGTGCTGAATCGGTTCACACCAATGGCAAGGCGGCGCAGGCAGCTCCACTCCACGTGCACGTTCTGCAGAGGCCAGTCATGCTTCACTATAAGCTTCTCCACTGTTGTCGCTATGCTGCTGAGCAGCTGCGTCAAGGCAAGCTGAGAGTCGATATTTTGGGTGGTTTGAGCGTTCATGTAGACGGACTTGGCGGACGCCAATGGGAGCGACGAAATATTGAGCTGCATGCGGGCAGTCAGGGAGAACGAGTCGAGAGAGAGTGGGCTGTCGCATGTGCAGTCGACGTTAAGAGTATGCGCAGAGGCAGAAAAGGACTTCAAAGAAGGAGGGAGGGCAAACTGAAGGTTGACCGCTTGCCTCTCAAAGCAGACTGTAATAGCTCGTGCAGTGGTGAACTTGAATCTAAGGATGCTATAACCAATGCTGGAGGATGAGAGAGCGAATTCATGCAGCTGCGGTAAGAAGGATGAGAGAAAGGACAGGTCCCTTCTGCTGGACTCCAAAAGGTGAACTTTCAAAATCCTTAAAGCCTGGAACGTTGCTGGGTTGAGGTTGCCCAGGAGCCAATTCCCAAGGCGTAGCTCCAGCTGCTGCAGCTGCTGAAACTCCCCGAGAAAGGCCGGATCCAGCAAAGGCCCGGGAGAGTCCCGCACGTCAAGGCACAGGCCTGTGAGGGAGTGCGCAACCGGCTCCAAAAGACGGGCGAGGCTGGGTAGGTCGTCGGAGGATTTGAGCTGGAGATTGAGGGATGTGTGAGCGGCGTTTCTGAGGAGGAAGGAGAGCATTCCTGCCAGCCGGGGTTCCCGTGCGTCCACTACCAGATGGATGGGTTCGCGCTCCTGCACACACAGACATGATGGGAGAGGGGCTTAGCCGTTAGCGTACAGCTCAGCACCCAGAGCAGAAGGTGCCAAGCGGTGAGATGAGTTGAAGCAGGGAAGGCTGTGGAATGCAGAAGCAGCGGAGGAAGACTTACGGAGAAGGAGATGACATGACGGAAGAGCCTCATGCTGGCCATGGCACAGCACAGCACAGCACAGCACAGCACAGCACAGCACTGTCAAGACTAGAACGGGTGAAAAGATTGACTAAGGGAAACGAGATACAAGAGGATATAGCTAACCCTAGGAATATGAAATGGTACACCTAGACTAACATAAACTAAACATATAAAATATATGTTGACACACCCCCATAGTCTAGGTGACGGCAGTCCTGTGGAAAGCAACACAAATCTCAGGGTGGGTCTCAAGGACACACACATTCTGAGAGCAAGCAAGGGTCACGTGACCGGTCAGCAAGAACAAGCAAGGGTCACAAGACCAATCCACAAGAACAAGACAAATCTCAGGGTGGAGCTCAAAGTCACCACACACTCCGAGAGCAAGCAAGAGGCCACAAGGCCAGTCCACATGCAGGTATATAGCAAATATAATGAGATGCAAGAGTACAAGACAAGCAGGACAAAGCATCTCTACGTAAGCAAGTGAGGACGGGCAGGCACAAGGCCAAGCTGGATGCAGAAACGCTGGTGGTCACGAGGCGGCAACGCCTTGGTGAAGATATCTGCCGTGTTGGCCTCAGAGACCACGCGTCGTACGAGTGCCTGGCCACGCTGCTGCAACTCACGCAGAAGGAAGTAACGAAGCTGGATGTGCTTCGACTTCCCAACCAGTCGGGGCTCCTCACACAACAGGACAGCAGACCTGTTGTCGGCGAACAAGACTGGGGGAGAGCGAGGCCGCTCACCAAGGTCGGTGAGAAGGAAAGACAGCCAGCGAAGCTCCTGAGCGGCCATGGCCGCAGCGTACACCTCTGCCTCACAGCTGGAACCGGAGACGGACGACGCCCGAGTCGACCGCCACGAAACAGCACCTGTCCCGAGGCTAAAGGAGTACCCCTGTGTAGACCGACGCGTCTCCGCGTCGTCGGCCCACGACGAGTCCGAGTAACCTGTGAGTGTAACTGGCCGCTTCCCTCCAAGGACAAGTCCCATGCCTGATGTACTCGCCACATACTTCGCCACCCTCTTAGCAGCGTACCAGTGGGACGGTCGGTGTCTCCCAGGCGCAACAAAGCGCGCAAGGACGCTAAGAGGGTAAGCTAGGTCTGGGCGAGTACATGTCATCAGGTACATGAGACAACCCACCAGCTCAGGATATGGACCACTGGGCTCAAATGACTCGTCCGAAGGTGGAGCCGTGAGCCCATGATCCACACCAAGAGGGGTGAGCTGTACCTTGGAGAACGGGAAGCGAAACCGCGTGAGGATCTGCTCGACCATATGCGACTGCGTCAGCGTAATGGTGCGAGCTGCCCTGTCCCTAGTGATCTGCAGGCCAAGGTAGTGCTGCAGCTCACCAAGGTCAGTGCAAGTGTGTCTCCTCTGCAGTTCCTCCTTCACGGAGGCCAGTGCGTGTCGGTCGGGAGTGGCGAAGACCAGGTCGTCAACGTAAACAAGAACAAAGAACGGGGTCGAGCCACGGCGGACGAACAGTGACGGGTCGGCAGACGACGGAAAGAAGTCAAGCGCTGCAAGGGTCGAGCGAAGTGTGTCGTGCCACTCACGTGGAGCCTAACGCAGGCCGTAGACTGGTCGACGCAGCTGCCACTGGGTTGTCAGAATATTATGCTCTAGCCTGTAGTGGGGTGCTCTATAGCGAGTACAACCCTTCTAGGGTTTGCTATTTGTATCCTCATTCTTGCTAGTGCATCCCCCTCTTCTTTCTACTATTTTCACATGGTATCAGAGCAGGTCGATCCCCTTGGATCGATCCTGTGGGTGGGCTCACCACCTCGTTGCTTCCGCTGCAACTTCCACTACTACCTTCTGTGCCGCACGCCCCGTGGCGTGCGGCAGTTTTTCTTCCCGCCGTGCGCCCCGAGGCGCGCGGCGGTTTTCTGCCCGCCGTGCGCCCCGTGGCGCGCGGCGGTTCTCTGCCCGCTGTGCGCCCCGAGGCGCGCGGCGGGCTTCTACCCCGTCACTCGCCGCGTCGCCCTCGGGAGGCGCTGCGACGGGCGACGGGGACCCGCGCGTCGCCCCCCGTCGCCCGTCGTGGCCTGCGCGCGGCCCGTACAGCCGGCGCGCGGCCCGTACGGGCTGCGCCAGGCCTGCGCGCGGCCCGTACGGGCTGCGCCAGACCCGCGCGCGGCCCGTACGGGCTGCGCCAGACCCGCGCGCGGCCCGTACGGGCTGCGCCAGGCCCGCGCGCGGCCCGTACGGGCTGCGCCAGGCCCGCGCGCGGCTCGGGCCGCCTGCGCGCGGTTCGGGAGGCTGTGCCAGGCCCGTGGGCGGCCCTTTCCTCGCTGCCCCTGCCCTCCCCACTGTCCCCCGTGCTTCTGCTGGCGCCCCACCCCTCCTACAGCCCGTTCTCCTGAATTAGGGTTTGGGGGTGAGGGGTATGGGGGTGAAACTACTGTGTGCCGTTCCCTGCTCCTCCTCCTCCTCCGTCTCCCTGTGCTGCAGCTGCCGCTGAGGGGGGGTGGACTTGTTGGAGCCGTTGGAGTGGTGCTAAGGGGGGGTGAAGGGGGAGTGGAGCTAGCGGTGTAGCAGCGGGTGTGTGTCAGGAGGGGTGGTACTGTTTGGGGGAGGTCGAGTGGAGGCAGCAGTCTTGTCGTCAGCAGCAGCAGCAGTCCGGAGGCTACAATCTCCGGTAGTCGCCAGTCGCCCGTGGGTCCGTTGCTCGTCTGCCGCTACTTTTAGCCGCGGGGCCAGTTACCCCAGTAGTCCGGAGCGTTGTTCCGGTAGCCACTGAGCCAGCAGCTCGTCTGTGTGTCTGCAGCGTCAGCAGTCGCCTCCCATCTTCTCTCCCCCACAGTCTCTCCTCCTCCTCACTTGCCCTCTGCGATAGCCTCTAGCTTTGCTCATAATTGTGAACTTTAAACCATTGCTTCTTGAACTTGTGCTCAGAATGTGTGGTGACATTGTGATCCACCCTGAGCTTGTACTGCTTTGCTGATTACACCCCACTTTGGCTATGGGGGTGTGTCAGAATATTATGCTCTAGCCTGTAGTGGGGTGCTCTATAGCGAGTACAACCCTTCTAGGGTTTGCTATTTGTATCCTCATTCTTGCTAGTGCATCCCCCTCTTCTTTCTACTATTTTCACATGGGTCCCAGGTGGGAAAGAGCCAGTGAAGCCAGGCGGGCGACGCAGCCAGATCTGCTCGTGCAGGCTCCCCTGAAGGAACGCGGTGGAAAAGTCTAGAGAGTGCAACTCGTAGTCGCGCTGGGCTGCAATGTGCAGCAACACCCGAAGAGTACTCATCTTCGGGGTGGGAGCGAAGGTCTGGAAGAAGTCCACCCCCGCTCGCTGACTGAAGCCTCTCGCCACATAGCGCGCCTTGAACACTGGTGGTGATCCAGGCGGCCGCTTCACCTTGTAGAGCCATCGGCCACTGACGACGTTCGTCCCAGGTGGTGGGACTGCGTCGACGTAAGTGCCTGTGGACCTATAAGATGCCATCTCTGCCTCCTCAGCTGCTATCCAGTACGAGGCCCAAGGTCCCGAGACCGCCTCAGCGTGAGTGCGAGGGATCGGAATGTCAAGAGCGTCTGGATCCCCCTCAGGGGCAAGCAGCATGGCGCAGAGGTGAGGAACAGCGGCCGCAAGGAAACCAAGCTCAAACTGCCTGTCCTCCAGGACCTCCAAGGGAAAGACAGGAGCACCCCCAGAGGACGGAGAACGAGCAGCGCCACTCACCAGGTGAGCGGCGTAGTCAAGGCGGTGGGAAGAGGCAAAGTCAGCGACAGTGGTAACAAGTGCTGAGACAGACGACAAGGGTGCAGTCGGGTGAGTGACCAACGCGGACAAAACACGGGAGACAACAGGACGGGAGAGTGGTGGTGCTGCGAGCAACCATAGGTCCCACAGAGGGGTCGGCCAAGGCAACAGTGACGGGGGTGCGTAGTGGTGTGAGGTCGGCGCGGTCACGAAAGAAACAGCTGGACGCCCCAGAGTCGAGTGTGAACGACAGGGACGCAGTCTCGGTGGTCGAACCTGGACAGGCTACGCTAGCAGGGAAAGCACTAGCAACCTCTACAGCACCTAAGCTAGAGAAACAGGAATAGTACGCAAAATCATCAACAATAGAGTCATCGGCATACATCACAGACATAGAACGCACAGCCTCATCTAACTGAGGTGCAGTCATGCTATACAACTGCGGGCCAACAGAACGAGCCAGTGAGGCCCAATCGGGGACAGTGCGGGTGGGGCCAAACTGCGCACGGTAGCGGTCAGTGAGCTGTGCAAAGCACTGACCCGGGGGGTGGAAGCGGCCACAAGGGTAGCCTCCACGCGGCCCAGTCAGCACCCTATACTGGCAGGGGGGGTGCTGGGCTGGACCACGCGACGTCCAGCTGGGCGGGCCGCTGCTGCTGACAGAGCTCCCGGGTCCAGGGGACCTCCACTGCTGCTGCGGCGTCTGCTGGCGCTGGCCCTGGAACTGCTGCTGCCGCTGCTGCTGTGGCTGCGGCTGCTGCGGCTGCTGCTGGTGAGGCTGCTCCTGCTGGGGGGCCCCACTACCTCCACCTCCACTGCCTCCTCCTCCGCCTCCTGCCGGGTCTGTAACTGCACCTGCTGCTGCGGGTGGGACTCCTGCTCTACCCTCTCCTGGTGCGGCCGTGACTCCTCCTCTACCCTCTCCTGCTGCGGCTGTGACTCCTCCTCTACTCTCTCGTGTTGCTGCTGCTGCTGCTGCTGCTGCTGCTGCTGTGCCCTCTCAAACCGCGCACGCTCCTCCCTCTCCAACTGGAAGAGACGCTGCTCACGGGTCAGGAAACGTACAGTGCGCGGTGTAGGCGCCACAGTGCCAGTGCCTCCAGCTCCAGCACCCCCAGAACCAATACTTCCACCGTCGACACCCCCGGAGCCTCCAGTGCCTCCCGCAGTAGCACCCCCGGGCTCCGCAGAAACCGGCCGCAGAGAAGAACGAGGAGGGAACTGCGGGACGGACGGGAAGCCAGGGGGTGACGCGGGGCGAGGCCGCCGGCTCGAGGCTGCCGTGTCCTCCACGGGAGTGACCTCCACACCCACAACCCCTGCACCCCCAGAGCCGACACCACCAGCTCCTGCAGCCCCAGTACCCTCACCCTCCGCAACTGCACCTCCCGCACCCTCAAACACGACACGGACTGGACGCTGCGGGGGGGACGACTGCGGAGTGACGTGCGACACACCTGACGGGGCAGGACGCGAAGGGGGGGGGGCTACCGGGGCGACTGGGGGGGGCTCAAGGGTGAGGAACAGCGGGGGGGAAAAGGCCTCAGTACCTCGGTGGGGGCGACTCCTGTAGTAACAGACAGACTCGTCGAACGTGACGTCCTGAGAAGCGAAGAACTGGTAGGTGGCCGGGTCGTAGAACAACCAGCCGGAGGCGTCCAAAGGGAAACCAAGAAAGACGCAGGCACGGGTGCGCGGAGACAACTTGTTCGCGCCAGGGGCGCGAACGTGAGCCAGAGAGCCCCAGACACGGAAGTCAGCTGCTACGCCCGGAGAACCTGTCCAAAGGGAGACCGGCGTCACCCGTGGCCATGCGTCACTAGGCCACAGGTTCAGCTGGTGCGCGGCGTAGCGGACTGCCTGGGGCCACAAGAACTGGGGGGCACCGGCATGGCACATGGAGGTCCGGGCAACCTCCATGACCAGGCCGATGCGACGCTCGGCTACCCCGTTCTGCTGCGGCGAGGCTGGTAACGTGTAAGACTGGATGATCCCCCGACCCTGACAGAACGTCTCCAGTCGAGTGGAAGAGAACTCACCACCACGATCCGAGTGTAGACGGAGCCCACACAGGCCCTGGGCGCCACCCCTCGCTAGTAGCCACGGCTCGAGGACGGTAGGCACGTCGGCCTTCCGTCGCAAAGGGAAAACCGTGGTGTAGCGGGAGTAGTCGTCCACCACAATCAGGAAGTAGCGCTCCTGACGTGGGCCAAGGACCGGGGAGGGGCCCCAGACGTCCAAGTGCAGGGTCTGGAAGGGAGACGTGGTGGGGGGGAACGAGGAGGAGTGAGGGGCAGCGCGCTGCCGACCCTCGACGCAAGGAGTGCACGGCGGCGCTGGAGAGCGGGGAAGCGGGGCAAGCGACGCTGGGAGACCTGAGACCAGACGGTGACGTGCCATCCTACTGAGACGTGGGAACGACGGGTGACCTAGACGGTGGTGCCAGAGGACCGACGGGTGGGTGAGGGACCGACAGTCACACGACACAGCGGCTACCTGACCTGACCTGACCAGACCTGACCCAGTGTGGTGGGACCCGGTGTGTAGTGAGTACAGACCAGAGCCCGGCTCCCTGCGAAAGGTGGCCAGAGGGGCCCCAGTGGTACCGACTGTGCAGGAGGCAATTGACTCCTCTAAGGGAAAAGTGTGACTACTCCGAGGTCGTGGAGGTGGCTGACACCCACCAGGTTCCTAGAGAACGAGGGGGTGTAGTAACCTGTAAGGACCCCAGAGGGAGCAGCCGGACACGGGAATTGCTGCGCGTGCGTGCGGCTATTGCTGCGCGTGCGTGCAGCTATGGCCGCGCGTGCATGCTGCTAATGCCGCGCGTGCGTGCTCCTAATGCCGCGCGTGCGTACGGCTAATGCTGCACGTGCGTGCGGCTAATGCTGCGCGTGCGCGCGGTCGCATGTGCGGCTACGACTGCACGTGCGCATGGGCCTGCTGCGCGCTAGCGGGCTGGCGAGCTACGCACGGGGCAGAAAACGGGTGAGGCGCGGGTGAAAAACGGGTGACGCTCTGGGCTAAACGGATGACGCGCTCAGGGCACTACGGGTGACGCGCGAGCTAAGGGGGGGTAGCAGGGCGCTTCGGGTATAAAGTGGCTACGTTCCTAGGTCGGGGCACGGGGCGGTGGGCCCATAGGGTCGACTAGCTCTATACCATGTCAAGACTAGAACGGGTGAAAAGATTGACTAAGGGAAACGAGATACAAGAGGATATAGCTAACCCTAGGAATATGAAATGGTACACCTAGACTAACATAAACTAAACATATAAAATATATGTTGACAAGCACAGCACAGCACAGCACAGCACAGCACAGCACAGCACAGCACAGCACAGCACAGCACAGCACAGGCCATGATGCGCCGAGGCGCCTCGTGTTCTCCTCATACGAGGCGCTGCCTGCTCCCCACGGCCATGCGGCCCAGGGGTCATCCGGATTGTCCAGCAGGTGGCGGAAGATGATGTGCCAGACGCGGCAGGGCAGCAGATTAACCACGTCCTTCCTCTGACAGTGGGGGAAACAAACAAGAAGTTAAGAGAGGAAGAGAGAGAAAAAGAGACTGCTTGCGAGGAAGAGAAAGAGAAAGGAGCTGCTTGAGAGGAAGGAAGGAAGGAAGGAAGATCTCTTGCTCTGGGATGAGAGAGGAGATTGTGATGAGAACCGAAAGGATCCGCTGGGAAACATGGTGCAGTGTACCACTGTCTGCGGCATCACTCTCACCTCACGATGATTCTCGACGTCATAGGGTGCTGTAGGATTGAGAGAGTGGTTTCCTGCCTGCGACGCATCTCCATGGCTAGCCATTAGCGGCATGAATCAACTGCGCAGCATTCGACATAGGCAAAAACGCCCGCGTTCGAAAGCAGGAGGCTTTCGCAAAGCCAACTGGAAACAAAGTCACAGCTCTGCAACACCAACACGAGAGGGCTTCGTTCGTATCTCTGGAAACTCTTATGTAGGGAATGAAGACGGTTACGCTGGTTACATGGTCTTTGCTCGCGGCTCATTTTCCAGCCGAGACACCACTCGAGCGGTTTCATGACGTTTGCGCGAAAGTTAGTTAACTTTTGACGCATGTCGCAATCGTCGAGCCGCAATCCGTCTGGGATTCCCAGAGAGGAGAGAGCATAGGGATTGCTCTGGTCCGACGGTCCAACGGACCTTGTTGGACCAAGGGACAAGCAGACTGGGCTGTTTGAGCTTGCTCGTATGAAAGTTTCTGGCTGTGTGCAAAATCTGCCTGGACATTCTGCAGGTTGCTTGTCGTGCCCTCGAGCATTCATATAACACTTGCGAGCGAAGCCTATCTGTTACGGTAGAAATACATAATTACAGTTATTCACATTATTCTGATGCTGCAAACTGGCCCATAAGTATACAGTTTTTGATCAAAGTGACAGCAACAAAGTGCATGTGTGTCAAAACTCACAAACACATTCATTGAGATGAAATTTCTCAAAACATGAAATAGTTCAGAGAGATTGAAGGACTCTCATGGCCTGATCATCCTGGGCCATGTCCTGGCTCATTTTGTCTGCAGCATCGCGTCTCCTCACTTGCATTACCGGCTCAGTTTTCCGCCTCTCCCCCTCCCGCTCCCACCGAAACGAGCGACCAACAATGCAGTATAACGACAGAGAAGGGAAGTGCCTGCGCAGAGAGACCAGGGTTCCAAGGTGCCACTCCTGCGTCGCAAAGAAAATGGAGTGCAGCTTCGGAGCATTGATGAAGGGAGGGCTGCTTGCTTCGTCCTCGCTGCCGCTACCGCTCTCTTCTCCTTGAACAAAGCCCCTCCTTGAAAGAGAAAGGAACTCAGCATCATCCAATGCAGTGGTGTGTCTCCCACCGTGACTTCTCCTGCTGCCGTTCACACCAATGGAGAGACGGCGCAGGCGGCTCCATTCTGCCGACACATTCTCAAGCGGCATGCCATGCTTCACTGTCAGCACCTCCACTGTTGGCGCGATGCTGCTCAGTAGCTGTGTCAAGGAAGCTTCAGTAGCAGCCAAGCAACGTTGCGAGACGGAGGTGCGATCAAAAAGGTCTTCCCAAGGTGAGCTGGACTGCTTGAGGGTTGTTGGTCCATTCAGGTAGACGGTATTGGCGGAAGCCAGTGGGAGTGAAGAGACGAGAAGCTGTGTGCGGCCAATGAGAGTGAGCGAGTCGAGAGCGAGAGGGCTAGAGCACGTGCAGTTGACATCCAGTTCCGCTGCTGTGGCTGAAAAGGCCTTCAAGGAGGGAGGGAGGGAGAAGCGGAGGTTGAGCCTCTGCTGCTCGAAACTGACTGTGATGATTCGCGCAGCGGAGAACTCAAAACTGAGGTGGCATGGTTCACGGCTCTTGGAGGAAAGAGAGAACTCATGCAGCTGCGGTGTGATTGCTGACAGGAATACCAGATCGAATTCATTGCAGTCCGCATGGTCAATGCTCAGACTCCTTAGATCCTTGAACCACGCAGCCTTCAGGTTGCCTGGTTTCCATCTCCCACTGCCAAGCGTCAGTCGCTGCAACTGCCCGAAATGTACAAGAAACCCCGGGTTGATCATCTGGTGTTGAATATGAACGTATCCGGAAGACGTGTCGCTTAACCTAAGGCACATGCTCGTGAGGGAATCTGCAGAGGATGCCAGAAGGCGGTTGAGAATCTTCAGATCCATCAAGCTGGTGATCGTGAGGTCAAGAGATGTGTGACCTGGGAACTTGAGAAACCAGGAGAGCCTTTCTGTCCAATGGACTTCCTGAGTGTTGTACACAAGGGAGATGAGCTCCAGTTCCTGCACACACACAGAGAAGAACCAGCTCAACACCCACCATGATGACAGAGGAACAGAGGACTTTGGAAGCGATAAATTAGCAACCAGAGCAGTGCGGTTAACTAGGTTGTACAGATGGACGCGGAAAACATGAGAGCATGACTCACGGAGGTGACATGGTGGTGGCAGAGAAGCAGGTGCGTGGAATCAGGGAGCAGTGCATGACTCACAATGAAGGAGGTAATGTGGTGAAAAAGCCTCTTGCTGGCCATGGCACAGTGCAGCAGAGGCCAGGAGGAGCCGAAGCGCCTCGTGTCCTCCTCATGGGCCTGTAAGGCACGCAGCTGACTGGCCTCATGGGGCTGTAACGAACGCAGCTGACAGGATGTGGCACGCCAGGAGGTTCTGCCCGCTCTCTGCTGCGAGGCTCTTAGGGAGTCGACCAGACTCTGCAGCTGAGTGGGACATTTTGGCGGCACCAGCAGGTGGCGGAAGATGATGTGCCAGATGGGCCCGGGCAGCAGATCAACCACGTCAACGCTCTGATGGGTGGGGAAAGGGAGACAAAGGGAGAGATAGGTCGGAACATCCGGATTAAAGATGTCGATTCGGTGAACATCAGCGGCTGTCAGAGGCAATTCTAAGCACGTACCTCATGCTGGTAAGCATCAGAGGATGCTGGTCGTCCCACACGCCGCTCGCCGCGTCCTCGCACCATCGTGAAACCCTACCCCCGCTGGTCAGCCAACGTGCACTGCGGCACAGCGGCGCGGCGGGGAGGCGGAGTGTGTGGGAGTGCGACACGGCAAGCCAGGGGAGGGGGTGGACAAGACGCGAGGCGTGTGTGCGTTTGGCCGCGGAAACAGAGGCAGTCTCTAGGGGAGCCGTTTCAGAGTGAAGAACAGAATATGTGTGTGTGTGGCTTCTTTGCCCGAGTCGCGGATGTTGCTAAGTATATCCAAGCTTGGCGGTGGGTTTCCAGACCCCTAAGCCTGACACGTGGCAGCGACAGTTATGTGATTGCTCATAATACACTCTTTCAATGGTTTCGCGACTAGAAGCAATACCACCAGGCGTCGTAACAGGCGAGGCTTGTCTCAGATCCTCAAGCTGTCGTTACCAGCCAAGCATACCCATGCATGGATGCATACCGTAGCAGTAATGTTGATGGCCTCGGTCAACCCTGGATTGTGTTGAGCCAAAAACGTGCGGCACGATGACATAACGGGAATGTTGCGAGAATCCTTGTGGTTTCACGACTTGATGACTTTTGATTCCTGTTACCCAGCTGTGCGAAATAATGTTCGCCTCAAAACAACTCAGCATACGAGGACTTCGTTTCCCAATCATATGGTACCCTGTCAACTTTTCTATCCTGCAAAACTCCATCCAGGCATCATATGACCCACCAGACAAGATCAAACCTCTTTCCATTGTACCGTATAGCCCCGGATATAAGCGCATATGCGCTTATAATAAAATCATTTTTTTAGGGGGTGGCGCTTGTAATTGAGTAACGGCCATAAGCGCCGGCGCTTATATAATGACAATACAAAATTATATATTTAGAGCACCAAATTGTTTCATTTTCTTTTTGCCATTTCAACCGAGTCGAATTTTTTTGGCGTCACAAAGCAGAATCGCGCGCGAGCGATATTCTGCCAGCACACAGAGGAAAACACACGTCATGCCAGCACATCCTGACTGGACGCGCAGCCAGTCAGGTCTTCGAGAGTCAAACGAAGCGAAATTGAAATATGACTCGCTGCAAAAATGAATCTCGTTAAAGTTCTAAGCAATATTCTAATTTTAAATTACACATGCGCTTATAATAAGTAAAGCATTTTTAGGGGGGGGGCTTATAATCGAGGAACGGCCATAAGCGCCATGCTCCAGATAGAAGCGCCGGCGCTTGTAATAGGCCGGCGCCTATATCCGGGGCCATACGGTAGTTCAAATGGCCCCTAGTAGCTAGCCTAAACTATAGAATTAAGCAAGTGATGCATACGATACATTCAGTGCTCCATCTAACAATTGACCTGCACAGCTGAGGTGGCTGCACAGCTGTCAACCCAGCTTCTAACCTAAAGTAACTAATGCCCAGTACAGCCTAGACCTTGACCTCAAACAATGGCAGGAGCTGAAGCTAAATCTAATAGAAAAAAAAGCTCGCTTGTGCCATTGGTGGTCTGGCAGTCTCGTCACAGCACGACTGCCAGGCCCCTAATCCATCAACCTTGCATTGCCATCTCAGGTGCAATCTGATTCGATGACGGAAAAGTGGGTGTAGATGAGGATGTGCATGGGTATGGCGCGGACGTGGATGTGGATGTTGAAGAGGGTTTAGATGAGGACGCGGATGGGTATGGTGAATGGAACAGCAAGGCGGGGCAAAGAGCAGCCAAGTCGCGGCTCCTCACGGACCGTTGGTTCAGCCACGGGTGCTCCAACACTTCAAGCGAGCTCAGCCGCTGAGCCGGGTTGATGCAGAGCATTCGACGGATGAGATCTTTCGCCGCTGCAGAGATGGGTTTCCAGCCAGGAGACTCAAATTCAATGTGCAGACTACTGTTCATATCCACCGGTGCAAGGCTGGGATCTAGGGGATGAAGGTGAACGGATGTGACTGCGTGGAAAGTGGCACTAGTGAATGCAGTGCCACCGCCAGTGTAGCTGTGTGCAGCATGTGCCATGGGTGCATAGGTCGCCTGGGTTTGGCCATTCTGAGATTGAGATGCCATCACATGCTGCTGCTGTTGGTGGTAACAATGCTTCATCTGTTGCTCCCCCTCATGTAATGCTGTCTGCTGCGAAAACTGGTATTGACCTGGCCACATTTGCCACGATCGCTGCTCTCCCTGCTGCTTCCCCACCTCCTCCCCCACACCACCCCCCCTCCGTTGCCACTGCTGCTTCTGCTGCTGCTGCCACTGCTGTTGCCACTCCACATGCTGCTGCTGCTGCTGCTGCTGCTGCTGCTCCAGCTGCTGCTGCTGCGCATGCAGCATGGCCAGCAGCTTACCCGGTTTGACAATGGGCAGACGGCCAGTGAGCATGGAGCACAGAGTGATGCCCATGCTCCACACATCCGCCTTCATGCCATAGCTGCACCCTGCATCCCCTGCATACCGAGCACCCACTGCATCCCCTGCACCCTGTGCACCCCCTCCAACCCCTCCATCACCCCCGCCCGGAACCGCATCTTCCTTGCCCCCCGCCTCTCCCCCTCCCCCCTTCCGCCGCTCCCTGGCCATTTTCTGCCGCACCTCCAGCAGGAGTATCTCGGCCATCAATGTGCAAGCTGCTGTTCATGTCCACCGGTGCAAGGCTGGGATCTGGAGGGTGAAGGTGAACGGATGTGACTGTATGGAGAGTGGCACTAGTGAATGCAGGGCCACCGCCGGTGTAGCTGTGTGCAGCATGTGCCATGGGTGCATAGATCGCCGGGGTATGATTGGTCTGAGATTGAGATGCCATGACATGCTGCTGCTGCTGCTGCTGCTGCTGCTGCTGCTGCTGCTGCTGTTGGTGGTAATTCTGCTTCGTCTGTTGCTTCCCCTCATACAGGTGGTCACAGGTGTACAACACCGCATGGCCACACCACCGCATGGCCACACCACCGCATGGCCACACCACCGCATGGCCACACCCCCCCTGTTGTCACACCATTTCCACCACCATTATTATCACACAGTACCCCTCCTGCTCGTCCCTGCACACACCACCCCAAGGTCACCGCCAATGCCACCACTGCAATGAGCATTCAGACTTGAATGACCAGCATTGTCACCCCCACTGCCATGACTCATCATCATCCCTTCACCACCAGTTCCTCAACCACATCAGGTGCACACCACCCCATGGTCACACCACTCCATGGTCACACCACCCCATGGCCACACCACCCCATGGCCACACCACCCCATGGCCACACCACCCCATGGTCACCGTTACTTGCAGCCCTTTCAAAAGCACGTAGTAGTCTTATCTGCTGTTCTCTGCACCATCTCCCTCACACAACTCCCACACCTGAAACCTGGTTCGATTCACTCATTCACAAACTCACCACCTAGTCTGACCAATCCTCTCAACATATGAAGTAACTCAGAGGGTTTGAAGGACTCGCATGATTTTGTCATCCCTTGCCATGTCCGGGCTCATGGTGTGCAAAGTGTGCTCTGGCCTCTCTTGCATCACCAGCTCATTGCTCCGCTGCTCCCCCTCCCCCTCCCACCGAAACGATCGACCAACAATGCAGTAGAGCGCAAGAGAAGGGAAGTGGGTGCGCAGAGAAACCAGCGTTTCAGGCTGCCACTGCCGAGTCGCAACGAAAATAGACTGCAGCTTTGGAGCATTGATGAAAGGAGGGATTATTTCTTCATCCTCGCTGCTGCTGCTGCTCTCTCCTGCTATAGCAAAGCCCATCCTTCGATAATAAGACCGACAAACATCCTCCAATGCCTTTGCTCGCCTCCTGTCATTCACACCAATGGCAAGGCGGCGCAGGCTGCTCCATTCTGCAGGCACCTGCTCTAGCGGCAAGCCATGCCTCACTGTCAGCATCTCCACTGTTGGCGCTATGCTGCTCAGCAGTTGCGTTAAGGAAGCTTCAGTAGCAGCAAAGCAACGTTGCAAGATGGAGGTGCGATCGAAAAGGTCTTCCCAAGATGAGCTGGACTGCTTGAGGGTTGTTGGTCCGTTCAGATAGACGGTTTTGGCGGAAGCCAGTGAGAGCGAAGAGACGAGAAGCTGTGCACGGCCAATGAGAGTGAGAGAGTCGAGAGCGAGAGGGCTGGAGCACGTGCAGTTGACCTCCAGTTCTGCTGCTGTGGCAGAAAGGGCTTTCAAGGAGGGAGGAAGGGAGAAGCGGAGGTTAAGCCTCCGCTGCTCGAAACTGACTGTGATGATTCGCGCAGCGGAGAACTGAAAACTGAGGTGGCATGGTTCACGGCACTGGGCGGAAAGGGAGAACTCATGCAACTGTGGTGTGATTGCCGCGAGAAACGCCAGGTCGTATTCGTAACAGTTCGCATGATCAATGCTGAGACTCCTTAGGGTCTTGAACCATGCAGCCTTCCAGTTGCTTAGTTTCCATCTCCCAAGACCGAGCGTAAGCCGCTGCAACTGCCCAAAATTCTCGAGAAAAAACAAGTTTATCATCTTGCGTTTTTGACCAGCTACGTATCGGGATGAATCTCTGGACCTAAGGCACAGGCTCGTGAGGGAATGGGCGGAAGATGCCAGAAGGCAGCTGAGGCTCCGCAGATTCGGCAAGCTGCTGAAAGTGAGGTCGAGGGACTTGTGACCTGAGCATCTGAGGAACCTGGAGAGCATTTCTGTCCATTGGATCTCCTGACTGTTGTACACAAGGGTGATGGGCTCCAGTTCCTGCTCACACAGGGAGGAAATAGCTCAACACCCAACTTCATAACGGATGACTTTAGCAGCCACAGTTTAGAAACCAAAGCGCTGTGGTTAACTGGGTTACAGACAAATCTGCGCCTGAGTACAAAAATATATATATATACATATTCTAAAAAAATCAGTGCATGACTCACGGAAAAGGAGATGATATGGTGAAAAATCCTCTTGCTGGCCATGGCAAACCGCAGCAGAGGCCAGGAAGGGCCAAAGCGCCTCCTGTCCTTCTCATGCTGCTTTCTGGCAGTCCGCTGATTGGCTGTGGCACATGAGGTGCTGCCCGCTCCTTGCTGTGATATGCCCAAAGAGTCGACCCGTTTTGGCGGCAGCACCAGGCGGCGGAAGATGATGTGCCAGATGGGGCCGGGCAGCAGATCAACCACGTCTAGACTCTGGTGGGTGAAGGGAGAGAGAAGTGGTGGAGACGAGAGAGGAATCGAATGAGTATCAGTAGAGGTGTGATGAGAACAGATGCGGCCAAGAAGCAGATCAACCACGTCCACGCTCTGGTGGGGGGTGAATAGAAAACGAGTAATGGATAGAGAGAGAGGGAGAGTGAGAGAGAGAAAGAGAGAGAGAGAACTAAAGAAAATGAGATGAGATACATCAGATGCTGTCAGAGGCATCACTCGCACGCACCTCATACTGGTGAGCGTCCGAGGATGCTGTAACTTCAAGAGCACGCATCCGCCCCACCACCACATCTCCACGGCTAGCCATAGGCGGTAACGGTCAACCAGGAAATGGAATCTGACTGGGCTAGATCAATATGCTTTATACTTCAGCGGTGGTAAAACTTCTACCGCAAGTGTTTAGCGTGTAATCTTTGCGGACAGCAAACTTGAAATATCACTGACGTAGTTTGAGAATCCTACGCTGGTGAAGAAAAGAATGAAGATTCTCCGTAGAATTCACTGACGGGACCTGATACTACGTTTCCTCATACTACCAAATCCGCGTTCTCGCTGTTCACCGCGTTCTCGCACCATCGTGAAACCCTACCCTCGCTGAACTCTCAGCCATCTGCGCTGCGGCACAGCGGTGGCGGGCAGACGGTGTGTGTGGAAGCGCGACACGGCAAGGCAAGGGAAGGCGCGAACAAGGCGCGAGGCGTGTGTGTGAGGCGGAAAGTAATGTGTGGGATGTGTGAGAGCGCGACACGGCAAGGCAGGGGGAGGCATGGCCAAAGCGCGAGGTGTGTGTGTGTGGCGGAAACCAGAAGCAGCCCCGAGAGCCGCTTTAGAGTAAAACATAGCATGAACCTGAGCAATACTTTTGATCAAGTCGCGTTAAGCATGTTGCTAAAAGTACCCTAGCTTGGCGGTGGGTTTCGAGACCTCTTAATTCCGACACGTGGCAGCAACAGCTGTGCCATAATTCGCTCATCGAGCCACGCAATGGTTTCGCCGCTAGCAGCAATACCACCCGGCGAGGTACCAGGCGAGGCTCGCCTCACATTCTCTAGCTGTCGAAAGCAGCTATAAGCAGCAACCGTGCACGGATGCTGGCAGGAATATTGATTGATTTCACCTCTCCATACGGTCTGCAGCACCACATCACCCTCTCTGTCACTGGCAACTTCCCGCTGTTACCTTGCAGTATATAATCCTCACTCGAGTCCCTCACATTCTCCATCCAATCTGACCTGAATGTCATGTGACGCGTGCATCCGCTGTCCATGAACCATGCCGTCTTCTCACGATCGTCCGTCTGCCGAACCTCCTTTGGTAAACGCACCACGTTCGCAAGATGCGCTCCTCCAAAAATCACATCTTCCTTTTCCGCTTCTGCTACATTCGCCTTTGCCGCCACATTCCTCTGCTGCGACGGACCCTTGTAGCTCCTGCTATTCGGGTTGGAGTAGCACTCTGCGGCACGATGTCCATAGCGCCCACAATAGTCGCACTTGCCGCCAAAACCATGTTTCTGCTGCCACTCCGCTCCCCCATTTTCTCCTTTATCGTTCTCCAACGCTTTGCCTTTGTAGTTCCTGCTTCGCGGATTTTCGTAGCAGTATATCGCTGTCAAATGTTGAACATTGATATGATAGGCTATAGTGAGTTGCACTCTAGGGGGTACAGCTTCTAGGGTTGCTCATTTGTACCCCATTCGTTTCTATTCCAATCATTCCGTTGTTCGCTAACTTTGAGATGGTATCATGAGTAGGTGTCGATCCTCTCGCCTAGCCTAGCCTAGCTCGCGCCCTAGCGCCCTCCGCGCCCTTGCGCCCTAGCACACTCCGCGCCCTCCGCGCCCTCCGCGCCCTTGCGCCCTAGCACCCTCCGCGCCCTCCGCGCCTTAGCCACCGCGCCCTCCGCGCCATCTCCGCGCCTTAGCGCCCTCCTCCTCCGCGCGTTAGCGCCCTCCGCGCCCCTAGTCTGCGCCCCTAGCCCGTCGCCCAGGCCCACGCCCTAGCCCGTCGCCCAGGCGCCCGCCCTAGCCCGTCGCCCAGGCGCCCGCCCCAGCCCGTCGCCCAGGCGCCCGCCCCAGCCCGTCGCCCAGGCGCCCGCCCCAGCCCGTCGCCCAGGCGCCCGCCCCAGCCCGTCGCCCAGGCGCCCGCCCCAGCCCGTCGCCCAGGCGCCCGCCCCAGCCCGTCGCCCAGGCGCCCGCCCCAGCCCGTCGCCCAGGCGCCCGCCCCAGCCCGTCGCCCAGGCGCCCGCCCCAGCCCGTCGCCCAGGCGCCCGCCCCAGCCCGTCGCCCAGGCGCCCGCCCCAGCCCGTCGCCCAGGCGCCCGCCCCAGCCCGTCACCCAGGCGCCCGCCCTAGCCCGTCGCCCAGGCCTGCGCCCTAGCCCGTCGCCCAGGCGCCCGTCCTAGCCCGTCGCCCAGGCCTGCGCCCTAGCCCGTCGCCCAGGCGCCCGTCCTAGCCCG